TCTCTTGGAGGGGCATAACGACTAGCTCCGAATCTGCACCAGACGCTAGTTCTGTGCAATTCGGCACGCCTGGGCTGAATCCCCCCGGTGACCCAATTTATTCAGGCTCAAATTTTTCACCTGCCTGCTTTTTCAGGCTTATTTGTAGCTTTTATTGCGGCATTTAACACAAACTTTTGGGATTGAAATCTCCAGATCCTGCACGACTTGCAAGTCCTACCCTTGTTTCACACATAGACGCACACACACGCACATCCTCGAACCAGGATTCATTCAATTGTTCCCTGTGGGCCAGTTAGGAGGTCTCTGTCCGGCTTCAGGTGGCGTTTTTCATTTCTGCCGTGTTCGGTTCGTCTAGGTCTTCGGCATTGCAGGGGTGCGAATGAGGGTCAAAGCCTTTGCGGCACCTCGTTTACTTCTGCTGAACTGTAGTTTTTGCCTTATTAGACTCGGATATTGGACCCACCGCCTTGACTGTCTCGGCGCTAGGCAATCACTACATCCAGTGGCTGGTCACGTGAGGTCTACATCGCATACAATGTCTAGCCCAGCCCACATTCCTGATGGGGAGTGAGGAGGAGGCGAACCCTTGTCCGACCTCAGCTCATTAATTAACCCATCTGCCGGTGGGTCCTAGACAGACTCGTAACTACCATTCAGCATTGACCATAAAATGCTTTCAGACTAGTCTTATTGGTGATTTACATCGTCGACTCGTATCTCTCAGCCTCATCCTGGGCAGACATACTGTCGCGAGTGGAAGCCTAACCGTCGGTGTCGTATGCACACTGCAGCCAACTTCAATCCTGTGCTTTTCCACACCTCGGTTGTGAATATAATTTTTTAAAGTAGAGCTATTAATTGCATTGCTGCTTTAGTTTATGACACATCTTTGCATGTGTAAGACGGGAGTTGGTTTCTGTTAGGCAAGAGCAGATCTCGTATAAAAAATGTTAAGCTATAAAATCAAAAATACACGTACTTTTGAAGGTGCACCAAGTGCCACTACTACCTTTACCTGTTTACTCGGCATCATCTCGCTAGCTGGACAAAAATCAGAAGTTCCACTGACCCATTATTTATTGAATTGACTTTCATTTCGTGTGAAGGTACCTGGTGAAGAGACTGGTACGTCAAGCGTGGTGTGATGTGGCGCGATGCTCCTGGGCTATCCTCCTTCGATTTTTGCCATAAGCGTGCTGAGCTTTCCTCTTCACCAGCACTGAACAGACGCCATCACAGCCGGAGCTTATTCTTGAGACGACTTCAAGTTTATTTGGCGCATGCAGGCCTGAAGTCGTCATAGACACCAGTTTTCAGATGAACGGATGAAGGATAGCCACCCTTCAGCATCAACGGTTCTCGAGACTCAAACTGCTGTCAGCAGCCCACGGGGAATCCGCTATCGTCTCCTGAAGAGGTCGACCGAACAATCTCTTCCGCACATATTCACGCGAAATGAAAGTCAAATCATCCACGGAGATTGGCATCATAACATAACTTTTTATTGAGCAGCCTCCGAGACATACCTTGTCAAAATGACCCCTAGAGTCCTGTTCATTGCGATGCTCCTACCAACTTCTTCTATATCTCTCTGACCCCCCCTCTCTCTTTCTCCCTCTTTCTCACAAGTAGCCACCTTTTATGCCATACGGAATCTCCGAAATGTTGCCCATAATTATATTCGGCTGTGCCTTATCCTGAGTCTTCAAATAAAGATACACACTGATTGGGAATAGCGACAGACTGACTTCCTTCACTTATACTAAATACAACTTATGGCTTACTCGACTGCTGGCACGCCATCTTTTCGTTGCTGATTAATTTATCCTATCACTAGGACGCCCCAGTAGGTTCGTCTCGTTTATCGCTAATGGTTCTTTGTACCAACCAGATTCTCCCTGCTCCTGGTAGGAATTTTATAGATGTCTTGATAGCTGCTCATTGTTCAAGTCACTTTGAATGTAATGAGTTAAGAGTTTTTCAGGTCATTTACACATGAATGGTTGTCATCGTCCAGCTGTAGTCGAATTATACCAGAGTCCTTGGGGCTCCGTATCTCGGTTTCTTTGAAAATCACTTAACTTCCTACTTGCATATGATAGAATTCACCGCAGCTGACACCAATTCTTGCGAATAGCTTAACTAAGACCATTTAGAGGAGCCAAATTAGTTTATCTCTTACACCACTATGTATCAGCATGCGTATGCATTTATGGGCTTAAATTCGTTCTTGTGTGAATTCAAATCTTCAGTATGTGGCTCTCATAAAATCCCTCACAGAGAGTCGTCACCTTATTTTTTGTATGTAAGTAGAATTTCGAGACTACCTTTGCTATTTTCAAAATTGGAGAGACAAGTTTTGCTTCTAAGCGTTATTCTGTGTGAGTGTATGTGCAATTGGTATTTTGTAGTTCAAAAGTGGTATAGCATTGCTGTCCAGCCCTAATAAGGACGATGACAATTCGATGTCGTTTTCAGCCGAGATCTCTTCACCCTTCGCTTTCACACTAATCTAAGCACACTCACAATCGCATCGTAGTGGCATTATAGACGAAGCAAACATATATCTGCCATCCCAACCGAGTAGATTTTTCATTCTCGATGTGAGAACGTCTCCAAATTATTATTACTTGTTGAATCATTTCAACCTACTTTCAGTCCTTAAGTCACCTTAGTGACTTGGGCGGATTAAGTTTCTTGGCGCCTAGCCTCTATCGCTCACCGAGATCGTGACTGTGCTCAAGGCAGCCTTTCCTTATGACTTTACAAAAACTGCTACTGAGGTCATGAACACCTCCTGTCGACACTCAGATTCCGGATAGCCATGACCAAAATGACCATTGCAAATTTGTTTTTTAATATTCTCGAGTCTAATGCCAACAATTTAGGTTGCCATCAAAGTTCCGCTTTCCACGCGGTTGGCGCCAGGTGGCATCGGAGGTTGCACGTTTGCCGGTGAGCCTGCATGCCCACGGTCCGAAGACTTAATGAGTACGACCTTTTAGGAGGCTTGTTGCAGAGGATTTCGGTGCAAAGTGTAGGCTTTCCTTTGATCCATCGTATACGGGACCACTATCACTCCCTAGACCTCTCCTAGAGAATAGTGCCATTGGAACCGTCATCTCTTTTCAAGAGTTGCGTGGAAGAGCTTCGCGAATTGGCCCCACCAGAAACCGTGGTAATGTCCACCTATACCATTCGTTGAGCACAGTTGACATGACACTCAGGCAAGACTCATACATCGAGGGCTTCTTCTCCAAAATAAACAGTCGCGCCCTCCAGCCACCTTTCCTTCGATGTCTAATGAGACCGTTTTGACCAACTTTTCCTTCGAACTGACAGGTTCCTGACAGGCATCCTGCTTTACCTATCCTGACAGCGTCTTGCTATCTTTCGTTCACTCATACCATTCCAAATTGCCTGTTCCATGTCGTTTGATGAGACCTGTTTTATGCCCTAACCCATGGCCCTGAGAGCTGCCTAACTATTTATATTTGACATGGAACGTGTATAATAAGTATTCAGTTGTTTATTTCGGCTCTATGCTATGCCTCGGCATAGAGCCCTATTATCAGTATTTTATATTCTTCCAATCAACATTTTTTCCGCTTCTGACTAACTAGTCATAAAAGAGCGGAGGGAATCCGGAACTCCGTCCTCCTCGACTTCAACCTCCAGGTCCGACTACACACACATACACACGCACATACACATCTGCCATGAGTCCCGGTCCTGGGGGCCCACATGCACAATCCTGGCTATCTGGGCATTTTACCCAGCCTCAAGACCCTGTCTAAACGACATCGCTCAGCTCGAGCAGAACGACCAGGAAAGATAAATAAATAGACCTATGTGCGCAAATTTATAGAATTAATTAAACATGAAGATGAAAAGAGTGTAAGAGAGATAGATGGATTTGATCATTCTTTTGCCATGCAATACTTGCCAATCGGCTGCCATGGCGGGTTCATTTGGTCGTCCAGGCAACCGCACTCTCGGGTCCAGACTCTGGAGGAATGCAGACATCGGTTTTGCCAATCAAGTAAACAACTCTCGCTGGGATAAATTTTGGCCCAAACAGCTGACTGTTCGACTCTTGCCAACCCAGCCCGATTTCTGCCCAGACGGTCTTCTTCCGTTTTGTTCGCTCTGCGTTATGGCCACGGCGGTTGGCCGCTGTTTCCGGCGCCGTTGGGGCGTAATTTGTACCTTCTTTGTCCGACAAGACGGGTCTGTCTGCACATCCCTTACCTCAGCCCCATGACTACGTGCTTTTAAGTGTCATTTCCGTCTGACCAGACAATCTACACTCCCTACCTGTTGGTCCGACAGCTCACCTATCTGCCTGTGTCTCTTCCTTTCGGGTCTTCCAATTAGCTCTCACCTTCTTGCACACTTAATGGATGTTCACCTCTCTAACAACATCACCAGCCTACTCATTTGCCTCAACACTTCATCCAATATTCAGCAGCTCTCTCCTGCCTCCGAGCTATGCAGGAAAAGGAGTTCTAAATAGCCCAACCTAAATGCGATGACATAATTCATGTCGAGACACGCAACCTACGTCGTGCCCATTTATCATGCATATATATATATATATATATATATA